TCAAGAATTTTTTTACATTTACCTGTACCATTACTTAATCGCCCAGCAGATACTCGACGACAGAATATTGAAGTTGAAATTCCTGGTGGCGTAGTATAAAATCTGGTGTTGAATGACATTATTTTGGTAACTATTGATACAGTTGAAGGGTCAATGAATATGGATAAATCACCGTGGACGTTAGGATACGCTATAACGATTAATTCTTCGCAGGGATTAACTATATCTGATACAAATATCTGGATTGTAGATGACCTGATCGAGTGATCAAACTTAGTCTATGTTGCAGTATCTCGCATCAGACGAATAACTCAACTACATAGGGTTATTATAGATTACGTAATAACTGAAGAAATTACTAATGACGATGTTGTAATAAAGAAAAAAATTAGCGTCTTATAAGCAATGTGACAAAAAAAACCGTGACTTTGATATTGATACTGAATTTAAACAACTACAGAATAATCACAGTGCAAGTTGTAACACAATAATGTTATGGCAATATTCGAAAAATAATCCAAGACAATTTACCGTAGACAGAATAAATAGTGATCTTGGTCAAACACGTGAAAATGTGATGTTGACCTGTCTTGAATGTAATCGACGCAGAGGTGCTAATTTACATAAGTGAAGGTGGCGGTAAGTGTGTATCTGTAGGAATTACCTGCAATTGTTCACGCACAAATTCACGTTGCAGTAGAATCTAGTCTGTATATAGCAGGTATTCAAGTGGATCTAACCACGCTAGAAATTGTATGTGTGGTCACACTCCAAATATGGTCAGTAGCTCGTCTTTTGCCACCCTTCAACTCCCCTGATTCGTATAAATCTCACAATTACATTACCTAATACTGGTTGTTGACCTCGTTGTCCGTATTCATGACTACGTGGTATATATTTTTTGTTATTGCATTAGAAGGTTTCATGAAAGTTACAGGAGTAATTTCATTATTTAATGCAGATATAACACTTGGTAACCTTGCAACCCATTCACGAGATCGCTCACCGGACTTAAAGTCATCAGATATTTCTTTCGCATATTGATATCCAAATAACCGCTCAGCAAGTGTTCGATTAAATCGTTCAAAGATTGCTTGATCACGGTGAATTTCAGTATGCCCTAGTCTGATTTTAACGATATGTTTTTTCATTAAAGTTGATACTACACCAAGAAATTCGTTGCTAGGATCAACTTGTAATAGTTGTGGCCATCGTAGACAAATTCTCTCAAACGCAGTTGCAATGTCAGATGCTTTATTGATAATGGTTCAGCTTCTTTATACCTACTTGCAACGTCAACAACAGTCAATGCGTATTTGTACGTGCGACACTTTCGTCCAGTGTTTTAATAGTATCGTGTGGTAAAAACAAAATATCTGCTTGATGAACTTTGTTAAGAACACTGACATCAAAATATGCGTATTTAATTTTTTTGGTGGTGGTAAATAAATTTGCCATATTGCCTGTCGTGCTAACCAATTTTCAGCAACAGAATTTTAAACTTTTGCTCCTTCAGCAAGTTTAGTGATCGCTGCTTTACCTTTCCAATACCCTCTTGGGCTAGAATAAATGGGTTTCATTATAATAATTATACAATTAATTACCAGCCCCATACATTATTTTGCTTTTCATAGCGTAGTGTATTAGAAAACTTGCGAGTTTCTCTCTAATAGATCTATTAGGTATAGAATTTAATGCATGAATCAATTTTACATCTGCAAGATGCCGCCGCTGCAAATCTTTACTTTTATAAGCAAAGTCAGGAATATGACATGCTTGATAAATTTTTTTACTGGATACTCTCCTGGGCTTGGTTGATCTTGATCATCGAGTCGGATATCAAGTCTAGTTCTAGGACCACAGTGATAATATCCAGGAAGGTGTTTCTCACCAACATACTTATCCCATGGTAATGCAGGTAATTTTCCTAAAGAAGCAGAAATATCCCCACCAACCTTTGTTGTCCCTGAGATCAATTTATATTTTTGTGTACCACATTTTACACATTCACCTGTTAATGCACGTCGTTTATGTTTTGTTATTATTGTTGTTAATCCAGTGATGGGTGTAGATGATCTGCATCGAACACAATATAGACTCATATCATTAAAAATATGGATACAATAATTGACTTTTCAGCTACACGAAAACAGGAACCAGTGAAGCACTATCCAGCATTACCAAATTTGACAAGAATGATTATAATAGGTCCATCTGGATCAGATAAAACACAATCATTGTTAAATTTAATAATGAGGTGGTTGAGATAGAACAAACTATATTGAATAGCACCGTATGTAGCTGATCAACACTGTTACGAAGTACTTAAGGATTTTAACGAGAAGGCAAAATCAGTTAATAAAGACGGTGACGATATTCTTGACTTTATTACAGATATAGATGAAGCCCCGTCTGTAGGTGATTTAGATGGATTTAATAATAATCTCGTAGTATATGATGATGTGATGTTGGACAAAAAATATAATCCAGCTAGAACATTTTCTCGAGGTAGACACAAAATCACGGACGTGATTTATTTTACTCAGAGATATACACAAAAAACGAAGGTGATCAGAGATAACTGTAATATTTTGTTTGTGTTTAATACAGCAGATAATTATACCCTACAGAATATTTATTTTTCCTGGTGTTCATGGGACATGGATATGAATAAATTTAAAAATTATTTTCAAAAGCACAATCTGCTCCGTTTGGATTTATAACGATAAATCTACATGATCCAAGATCAAGATATCGTGTAGGTCTAGATGAAATCTTTGCTTAAACTTTCCTTGTCAATTAATAGCAGCAGGTAGGGTAAGGACAACAATTGGGTCGCTTTACAAGTAAACAAAATCACCTGACAAAGTCAAAAAATACGTCTACAATAATACTACAAAAATGAGCTATCCTCCCGACTTTGTCAGGCGATTTATACTAACGGTTCTTAACCGTAAGGAAATATACTCAATTAGAGACTTTGGTTTAGCGTTGTTGACGTATTTGTTTTGTCAGCCTCTGCAGGAACCTTTTTTTCATTAAAGATTCGAGCAAAATTTTGTGCGAGTCACCCTCCCTGCCGCTATTGACCAGTAATTATTAATATATATGTGCTGTCGTTAAAGTCAAAGCAGATTCACCAATCCTATTATGCTTTGTAACATTATCTTACACAAATGAAATCGCTATAACGAGGGAATAAGTTAAAAATACTATTTTTTTTTACAGAGTACGTGAATAATTTTGATGAGCCTGTAGTTCACCAGTGCCCAACCAAACACTTTCTGGCCGGATTTTCCAGTTACCATGACGACCATTATGAGGATAGGCGTTGGAAATTCTACTGTTGCGAAATCCAAGGTACATAATTGATACAAAATATCCAAAATTAAACATTCGAAGAGAAAACAAGAAACGCTTTTAGTCGGAATGTATCTGAATGTTGATACGTTCATTTAATTTATATAAACCGATGCCTGGAATGGGAGCATGATTTCTGACTTACATGACAAATAATAGGTACACGTTTTCTTACATGGTTAAATTTGTTAAAGAAATGGACTATAATGTCATAAGTTTCAACCATGTGTGCTTAACCTTTAGAACACTTGCATTCATTTTAAATTTAACACTGGGATATAGCTAGTTTTGCGCATAGGAAAAACGTTTGAACAGTTAGACATCGATGTCGGGGTCAAAGATTTACCCTAAAACACCGGCAAAATTATCTCAACCGCATATTGTACAATTGTAGAACTTGTTCATAATAGAAGTATCGTCGTCATTTGATGACCATTTTCACACAGTGTTTGATCCGCGATTGGATTGCTTGACACCTTAAGAACTTGGTTGATATATATCATAACAATTTATTTGTTTTACTACGTAGGTCTTCACCTAGAGGACTGCAACTATTCAGGTTATGTAAACTCCTTGGATAATCCCATGGACTACACCGTCCCAGCTGGAAAAATTTTAAAGGGAGCGGTCAGCATCAATTACGATCATGAAGAGTAAGTTTAACTTTGTCCTCAGATCCAAGTGAAGTGATAGTTGGCTCCAGACTGAATTTAGAAACCTTAATGATATGAGAATGCAGATTAAAGAATAAAATTCAAAATATTTTACAGTATTTGAACCAACTATAATAATACAAAAACCGCACGCAGCTTTAGGCAACTATTTTATATCACTGTATGATGAATGAGAAAAGGTATGAAAACCATATTATTTCTCAAACTTATTTAATACGTCATTTCAAGACACTAGCTAATGATGAACAATAGTGAATGCCATTATATTAACCCAAAATGCAGGGCAGACTGGTTCAGTGTGATAATTTTAGTATCCCACACATCCCAGAGTAGAACTCAAATTATCAGTTATTTATATAGACCAAAGGACAATACGCTTTCAGTCAGATCCTACACAATGCCAGTAAATCGCTTCGATTTCGTAAATATATTGTTAGAATTTCTTGATAGTGCAGTATGCTATTTTTATAAACATGTAAAAATCTTAATATTTGTGATATCAGATACATCTTGTGCAAAGATAATAGAGATTTAAAAAAGTTCGTGCGAACAAAATAGAGGCAAACGTGAACTTCAGTATTGTCGCCTCTACCTGGAATTGTTTTATCTGATAATCTAATCTCTCTTGTGCGAAAAAGTCTTATTCAAACATCGTAATTAGGTACAAATTGCAAAAAAGAAACTTCGAATGGATTAATATTATCCATAAGTCCGGCATGATGAGCATGATGCCATCGAACCATATCGACGGCCTAGCAACCTATGTAATCTTCGACTCATCATGCATTTTATAAACTCTCAGTTTATAGTGACATCTCAAATTGAGGCATCATGCCATGACAGGTATCATGATGTCCCAGCCAGTCCCATTATCCCATCACTTGGCCAGCCAGACCTAACACTACCCTTTCAGTGCTGAGCTCCTAACGAGGCAGCGATTAGTACTGTTTTTATAAGTCTTTGGTATGACTCGGTTATGGTTCGAACTCGCGACCTCCCACATCCGAGGCGGAAGCTCTAACCACTAGGCCACCGGAGCTCTCTATCTGGAAAGGAAATAACTATGCAAGATACCATAGTAGAAAGTTTAATGATGTATAGAAAATAATGGAAGATATTTTCGGTTGTTTTGAGTTTCTTACTTATAATCTAAGTCGTATTTTTCAATACATCTTAAATCATCGATATTATATTGTCGAAACACATAATTTGAAAATCAATCCACGTTTCCCTTCTGTCCGTATCTTTTGCAATCCATTTTATTTGAAGAACGATTTAACACAGTGATATGAAATAGATTTATGGGGAACCATTTGTGTGAGAAAAAGGATATTGAACTGCATTAACACAGCGACAGAGCTGATAGTGTTCTTCGTCAGCTATTGGCCTTCCAGAAATATTCAGCATCTTGTTCATGAATTTCAGAGAATATGGTTTGATAGGAATCCACATTGATCTTACTGAGTTGAGACAAATACTACAAAAGTTACTATTTTGCACATAAGATGTGGTAAACAATGCAGAGTGTCTATCACACACTGATAAACGGAGGTTTTAGAAAGTTTTGATAGGTACAGATTTACTCGACTTGAAACGACGAAAAAGATTCAAATTGTTTATGAAAGCTATTATTAAATAAAACAAATTAGTGAGGTTAAAACAGAAAATTTATAGAAATATTAGCAACGAGTTTATATATATATATATACATATATATATATATATATATATATATATATATATATATATATATATATATATATATATATATATATATATATATATATATATATATATGCATGCAGATTTATTCAAGCACAGCATGCTCGCTTAATGGACATTATCAAATGATCGTAATTAAATATATCAATGCATAAGAAAAATGAATCTACCGCTTGAATTTCATAGAGAATCAAGTTTTATACCTGCATAACTTGGCCTATGATGAGTCATGTTCTAAAATGAGCGCTAAATGCAGTCGCGTTTCTGAACTTGATATGCTTTTTTACGTGTCAATCCTACCTGTTTTCTTGAACGTTGTCGTGTATGTTTTCCATTATATTTCTCGTGGGTACGTCTTTGTGTTTTTAGGTGTGGTCTTTAAAATGTGGGTATGAAATATGCAAATCATGCAATGTTTTCAAAGAATGGACAAGAAGAAAAGACTTTGAACGCGAGTGCCTTCCGATTATTTTTGGAGATATTTTAAAAGCACCTGAACGAATTTGAAAGAGTTGAATGTATGAAGAGTGCACAGGTAAACTGTTTACATATTCGAACAACTGCGGCTTTTACCGTAGTAGCTGATGATTCCATGTAAACTTCTGATGAGAGAAGACGCAAATCCGAGAAGAAAAAGAATCAGTGGGTATATACAAGATTAATTAGGTCAAGAAGACGGAGAAAGACGATATAGAAAAAAGTACGAAGATACATTGAAACCAGACGCTTCCAACCCATATGGAAAATAATTTTAATGTACAACTGAAACGAACTAAGGAGGTCATCTCAATCCCATTATATAAACGCTGAATTTTTAATGATCTAGTTCTTATATTAATTTCCAATCAATGCTTGCATCAAATTTAAAGTTTCATATATAGGAGGACAAAACCAGTTGTCTTGCAGAATCATTGTGAACCTATGCTCTCACTATTATCGTTAACTGTAATAAAGGGATTATGGACATCGTTATCTTGACAACATCAGAGTTCATAGAGGACCAGTATATTTCCGGTTTTTAAATTTATGTAGAAATTTTGATTAATTTAGGAATTAATAGACCTTTATAAGGATTATTTCGGATTCACTTTTTAATACTGTAACTTTCTCTCACATTTTCTTTATAACTTTGATAATTAAATTGTTTGTTAAGTTTTACAAAACTTATTGGTCTTCTTTTATTATGTTACTTAGTTTGTGACCATAGAGTCGTAACAATTTATTAAAGTGTTTATTTGGCTCTTTTACAGGGACCGTGTTTGGGAATACGAGGAATGCAACTATATCGACTATTTGTTGGAGTGAACCGAAGCGTGTCATTTCTTAGGTAATATATGGACTAAAACGATATAATAAACAATACCTGAAATATATTTGTTATGCTTTAGTCAGTTTGCATGTGATTCTGGGAAAAATGTTCTGCATGAAGCGAATAACCGCTTTTCCTTCTTCAACATATGTGTACATTCACATGAATCGGAAACTTTCTCAGTGAACAAAATTTGAAATTTACAAAACATACACCCAAATTTAATGCGCCAAGATTAATTATTTCATCATTAACAAACAACCCCCCCCAAAATGTGTACAAGGTGATGGCTTATTACTTGGTTAGTTACGAGAACTAGACATTTACAACAGTTAGGCTCCCACATTTTACATCCCAAGATTAATTCATTGTTCTTAACAAAACATGAGTGTGAAGATTAGCATAACCAAAATATTGTTCTTAGATTGTTTTCAACAGCTCAATACGATACATTTAGTTATGTTTCCAGAATGTCAAGTACTTTCATATCTAGAATACTTGAAATAGGTTTGGACATAAAATTATGGTCATTACTATGTTGATACTCAATTATATTTGTCCATTATATTCCAGCCTCTGATCAGAGCTTATTTATTTACCATTTTTATAATACTAGATTTGTATACCATGCTTAACTAGAGTTGTAGATGCAGTTTGAAATCAATTTCTAATATTCCTGTAGATACTGTTGTAATGTGTATTTATAAAAATAGGATTTTGAAACCTTCCGTTGCATTTAGTCGAATAATACAAAACAGAATTACTTAAATTACTTAAGCAGTTTTTTCTGACTGTAAAAGTTAGCTTGATCTGATGTCATTTTTCATAGATAACACCTTGTTGACATGAAATATTATCACACATAAAGTAACTGTATGACTAAAGTAGTAGCACTTTGTTATTTAACATATCTCTAAAATGACATGAATCTATTCTTACCAATCTAAATGCTGTAAATATATATTTTTGCTGTGAGTCTGGTTTAAAGTTAACATATATCACTATTTTGTTTATGTCAACATAACCTGGTACAGTGTAAACTTTTCATACACTCACTCGGTAACAACTCTACATATATACATACTTAATTTACACATGACTCAGTGAAGAGGCATCACAATCTAGAAGGATGTGTTCTGACCACGGCTTTAATATGTTTCTCAAAATGTATCCTAAAATCAAGATTGCACTTTCTCTTGCATATTATATTTCTGACAGTCTTGGGATATTTCTGGTCAGTGGTAATGACAATAGAAAGGATGCATGAAAACTACATTGTTTTAAAATTGGTGCACCTTTGACTCTAATTATTGTTCGAGAAATAGTATTCACAAAAGTTGATGAACTCGTCATAGCATCCATACACATAAAACAAATAAGATGACGGTAGATAAAACAATTATTTGGATGCTTCTAGTTGCATTAATGATCAACGAAATTTTCATTTGTGCCAATAATGTGATTAAAATATTTTAAAGTATAAGTTTTAAGACAAATATCTGAGATGTTAGTAAAAATGCTGCATAACCTAAACTCGTCTTTAAATTGCCGTTTTAAGCGACTGAAAGGATGTTACTAAAGTTAAGTCTGTCTGTGTTAGTCAATTTGAAACTGTAGTTTTTAAAAACGATTTCAAAACCAGAATTTAGGTCGGCTCATCGATAAACTATTCGCATCTTGTCGAAAGAGAATATTAAGTTGTAATGCAATATAAAATTTGGAATTACGATAAATTTGTTTTTTTCTGGTAACCTGCCTTCTGCACCATGTTCAAAACGTAGCGAAGAGGGCACGGCAACATATGCTGCATACACAGGTACAGAGTAGGCTTGCTGTGTTCTTTAAAACTTAGTATCTCGTATCATTGAGCTTGAATTTACTTCCGAATACAAGGGTGAATGTTAACGTGGATTACACTCACATCCAATTCATAGTCGAAACTCCTAACTCCACAGACCCGATTTAAATCAAAATGAGCCTTGGGCTAAAGAGCCACACTAGGTACTGGAAATAACATAAATTTTCGATTTTTGTTAATTCAAACTGGAACAAGCGTTTTGGTTTAAGTGAAAAACCAAAATTTTGCTTATAAACAGTGAACCTACTAGCAAACTACGAGTCTTTAAATAGCTTTAACTTTGCTCAAAGAGAACTTCTATGCATAAGAATGATTGCTACCACGAGTTACGTGCCAATGTCATTTCTTGCTCTTGATGTCACGGCAAAACACAAATGAAGAAAAATGCAAGAAAAAAATAACAATAATAGTTGCTCAGAATTTTAAAGCAAACAAGCAAACCCAATTTAACTACACCTCAGATCTTAAACAAGAAGACATCATTTAGCCCTATTGAATGGAAGTGCATTAAAGCTCCTGCTATCGCCCCTCCCCCTTTATGGACATAATTATTTGCTATCGCCCCTTACCCTTTATGGACATAATTATTTGCTGTCGCCCTTCCCCTTTATGAACATAATTATTTGCTATCGCCCCTTCCCCTTTATGGATATAATTATTTGCTATCGCCCCTTCCCCATTATGGACATAATTATTTGCTATCGCCCCTCCCCCTTTATGGACATAATTATTTGCTATCGCCCCTCCCCCTTTATGGACATAATTATTTGCTGGATTGTTGTATATTATTTTAGTTCAGAACAACATTTCGGAGGTTGATGTTTTTGCAATATTGCGCAGCTTGCCTTATAACATTGATACTATATAAGCTATACAATTATACATACCCTCCATATTTTTAATGTAATAACGTATGACAATACCTTCAAATGCAAAATGAGGCTAATTCATAATGCCTAAGGAATCATAATGTATTTCGGATTAATGTCAATGCAGTATCATGTGGTTTTATTAAGCAGCGACAAAAGAGGAAATGCCTGGACTGCAAAAGGAGGACTCTCCAGGCTTTCAAAAAGGGGACTTTGATTTGTTTCGTAATGTTTATTAAGGTCAGCTCTGTCTTAGAAATCCAGCAGAATGTCTCTCGGAAT